GTAACTCCCAATTAAAATATTTGGGAGTTACATAAGAATGACTAATGACCTAAATACCCTTATCATTAATATGTAAGTTACATTTTAACCAAACCCAAAGATGCAACATTATTGGTTGATGTCGGTTAGCAAAGTTTGCACAAAATATTGGGTTAGTATTTGAACCACCCTCTATATATATATATAGGCTTGTTCTTTTGTGAACCAAGTCATTCATGTTAACTTTGTTAACCCATCATATCCTTCAATTTTTTTGATCCATGGTTGAAAAAGAGACAATTGCATCCTTGTAATATAATGTAAACACATGAGTTATAGACTAGTGTGAACTTAGGTGAACAAGGGCATTCTTGAAAAAATTAAAATAACATCTATTGTACCCAATAATTTCTCTCTTGGTGTTTCATAACCGAAATTATATCATCTCTTTCAAGTTTGTCAATTAATATGTTCATAATTTCAATTGTGTGTTCATAATGAAACTATATGTTCATAAGAAAAATGATCTGTTCATAAGTGGAGAATAATAGCATAATCATGTGTAGGTGAAACAGTAAATATGTTCATATATGAAAATGAAAAATATTGAAACAATAACTTTGTTCATAGGTTTAATAATTAATGTGTTTATAAATGAATGATGTTTCTGAAATCCAATAGGTTACCAAACATGTTCATAAGTTACATTACAAACTTCTATATTTAATGAACCGTTACATCACAAAAATATAGCTAAAATCATGGAATTTTGTAACCTCCATTTAAATGCCTTAAAGTAATACAAGAAAATAAAATAAAATTACCGCATCCTCCTTGACAATAAATACAATGTGATATATGAACCATGACATTAGATGGATTCTTATTGGTCTAGAGAGTTAATATAGTTAACACAAATAAATTGGTTAACAAAATATTTTATCTCTATACGTGTATGTATATATAGTTGGAGGCGAGTTATGTTAAAAACCGTCCAATTCATGAAAAACTATGCAAACCATTTTCGACCAATAGGATAATTCTGTTTTTTTCTTTAATTTTAATAAGTAAGGGTATAATGGTCATTTGATTTTATACTTTTTAATATTGAAAGGTAATAATTACTCTTAATTATCGAAACGTAATAATAGAAAATTTTAATATAAAAGGTGGTAAATCAATTTTTCTTAATATAAATTTTTTACCATTAATAGTTTTTATTATTTTATTAAATTATACTTATTAAAATATGAATTGTAAAAGCACTACAATATGAAATCTTATTTCGTTTCATTGAAAAAATATATGTAATTTGAGTAATGAAATGAATGTCATGGTCAATAGTGACCATGAACACGATTTCACTGATGAATTTTATTTATTAATATTTCGAAACGTTTTATGCATGAAAATGTTTCACTTACGAAAATAAAGTATTCAGTTTTCAAAATGTTTTATTCAATTTTCAAAAATGTTTCATTCTTCATATGTTTCATCCTTTATATGTTTCATCCTTTATTAGGATATACATTGTTTTAAAATTAGTTTGATTATAAATTATTAAGAGTCTAATCCTACTTCAATAACCATTAATGAAATAGTTTCATAAATCGTTCACTACTACATGTCAAATGGTCCATCTTTCATTGTAGGTGACAAGGATTCACGTGACTTCATAACATAAACGGTGAAACAGTTTCATTCATTCATTTAATGAAACAAAATATTTCATTTAGTATTCAAAATGTTTCATTATTTTTGTTGATTAAAGTATGTTTTTATGTTTCATAATTTATTAGGATATACCTAGTTTCATTGCTCCTTACTTGGATCTATTTTTTATGTGGATGTTATTTTATTTATAATATTTAGTCATAAAATAAATATAATTTTTATCAAGCATATAATTTGTCAGATTATTCTAACATTTTCGTTTAAAATATTTGTAATGATAAAATGATATCTAAAGATTTTAAAACAATGATGTTGTTTCATTAATGTTAAGATATCCACGATCTTGTTACCTCGTTTACAAATTCATTCAAATTAAAATTTTGACAATTTTGCCTTTTTTTTGGTTAAAAATTAAACTTTTATTTTTATTTTCTTTTTATAAACACATTTAATTTTGACCATTGATCAAGAAAATTGATGAATGAGTTTGGTTTGTAAGGTTTTCACAAATGAGGATGGTTTGCAATTGATCGCTCCTCTATATAGTTGATTAGTAACTTTTAAAATTGTTATTAATTAATTATTTGAAGATCATTTTTTAATTGAGTTTCGAGGTGGTCGTAATAGAATAAATCTTCACTGAACATTTTATTATATATGTAAGTATATGTATATAAGTGAATAGCAAGTCAACGAAAAAGGATGTCTGATAAGATTAAATGATTAAAGATTAACCTGTTTAGAGTTGGATAGAAGTTCAAGAACCTATTTATTTAGTTCAACTATTTAGTTAAATATTTAATTAATCGCTACAAGGAGATTCGATATTGTGATTTATGTAGGATTGGGAGCGATGAAGTGACGTTCAAGTCTTGCTAATCCTGGTAAATTTCATGTGATTTGAAACGAGATACATACAGTAGTACGATGTTCAATATTTTTAGTATGATCGATATGTTTGATGTGACTATAAGATATCTTATGATGTGTTCAGTATTTATCTTTTAACATGAAAGAGCATGTTATCATGTGTTTATAGCTTTCAAAGCATGCTAAATATTTGTTTAGCTTAGTATTTATTATGCATGCTCACTCGGGTACGTGTGTGAGGTCATAGAAGGTACAAATACCGCAAGGGTGCCTCGGTACATTGTTCGTCCATATAGAAGGTACATATATCGTGAGGGGACCTCTATACATGGTTCATCTAGAAGAACTTATTATAATCAGTAGATATTGTGGTCATTGTACTAGGTTGAGTCAGATGAAATGGTTGACCCACACACTACACCAGTTCAATTGAGATCTCATATGTATTGTTTTGCATATGTGAAAGATGTTTAAAATTTACTTGCATAAATTCCAATGTATTTCAATATATATTTTTATGTTACATGTTTTGTAGTAACATTTGTGCATATATTGTTTAGTTTAAAAACCATGAGCTTACTTAGTAGTAGCTAATATAGTATGCATCCCAAGGTCTGAGAAAGCAGGCACCGGTAAGGGCAAAGGACTTGTGTAATTTCTTCAATGAAAGTTAGTTGATTATGAGGTGAGTTATTTTGTTCCTTGTATTTTTATGTAAGAGACTTAGGGGCTGTTTACTAAACACTTACCCGGTAAGTGTTGATCGGTAACTATCCTCACCTGATGCACATGGCAAGGGCCGAAAATCTTACCCGGTAAGAGCGATGATAAGGATAAAGAGTCTTACCCTGTAAGTGATGGTGATGACTCTTACTTGGGTAAACATTTACCGAGTAAATTGTTGCATATCATACCATTTTAATATACTACAATTTTATCTGATAAAATAGATTATAATGTTGACTCCTACCGGTAAGCGCTTAAGTATTTGGGTAAACGGCCCCTTAGTATCTTATGTTGGAGACTATTTAAGCATTTTAGTTTGTTTAGTATTTGATAAGCTGCTTAAGTCTATAGTTATGAATGATTGTAAGATATTTATGGTTTCAGTACTTTTTCCTTGGAATTTGGGTGTGACATTCTTTCTCCCCCAATACTAGATCCAACCTTCGCCTCCTTAAGCCATATCACCGATAATGTTATTGGAAGCTTATACCTCCGACAACATTAAGACCAAGAACTAGCCCATCTCTGTTCCATATATGTTAATCGAGCTCTCTATATACCTATTTCAACTTATGAATATTCCCCACTCTACAAATACAACTTGCTTGAAGCTTCTTGTGTTTTTGTTTATGGAGATTGAAGTTGGGTTTTTTCACTAATTCAACAACCTTCTCCATTGTGATTTCTCCCACCATGCCGATGACCCATATCGTTTTTCTGACAAAATACATGCCCCTTTATTTCTTGTTGATTTTCTATTTGTTATAGGTTTGGATTTTTCCAATCAAAGTGGGTTACATCTTCCAAAATGGGTGAATGTGATAGTGAGAGAAGAGTGGATAATTTATCTATATTTATATCTATATTATCTTATTAATATTTAAATTAAATTAAAATATAAAATAAAATACTAATCCTTTCTCTAGTGACAGTGATCATTACTCCTCTTCTCAACATACATCCCTCAAAGGCTTTTAGGTTCCCAAATTGATCTGCCCTCCTCTTCTCTCATATGCTTTCACTCCATCGCTCCTCTTCCGTCCCAATCTTCAAGCTTCCATCGTCATCCATTGTTCCTCTTCCGTCCCAATCTTCAAGTTTCCATCGTCATCCATTGTTCCTCTTCCGTCGCTCCTCTACTCGAATCAGGTAAAAACACATAATCCCTACCCTCCTCCTCTATCTTCCATACGTTTGGGGTTTAGGGTTTTTATTCTGAAAGACCTTTTCAATTTCATACCAAAATCTTTGCAAATGTCGTTTCTGACATTGAAAACTCTATTTTTATCATTCATCGTATGTTCTTGCATAATAACACAGATAAAAAAAATAGCAATTGTTCATCATCGTCTGTTTGAGAGACGATAGAATAACATTCTTGGTTGGAAACCCTGTTCTGGATGAGATTATGTTAATGGGAAAGGGCAGTTTATTATGTTAATATGAAGTAGTAATTCTTCTAATAATGTTGGTTGAAACTCTAGAAAAATGGTTAGGTTTGATGATCTGAGTAGAAATTACTAAAAAAGTTTGTAGTAGTCTGTAGTCACTACATACATTGAACACAAAATCTGTTCCAATTCATTAAGCATTCTAGATGAATCCTTTATTTCTTGTTTAAGCAATGAACTTTATACAAAATCCAACATGACCCAATTTTGATTTAAATAATGTATTTTTCTCTCCAAACACCGGATGCTATAATAATAATAGGGTATCTATGGGCAAAAAAAACAGAAATGTAGCAGATGCCATATTCATGTCCGAAAAGGTTTACATGAGAACAACTCAAATATCAATCACAGGTAGGAACCAAAAAAATAAGTGCTTTTAGTTACTTATTGTTTCCTGTGTTTATTTGGTACATGACTAGCAAGGAGGAACTTTAGACTTTGTTTTTGCAACAATTCACTAAGTGCTCCATAACAAGCAACATCTCTTGTGGAAACAAGTTTTGCCTAACAATTCACAAAGTGCTCCATAAGTAAGTTTGCCTAAAAAACTTTATTAAAGTACATCATTATAAGTGTGCCAAGCCAAAAAAGAAACAAGCTAAATTACATATTAGAAAATGTAACTCACCTGCTTGTAGCTACCTCCATTGCCAGGGATGAAAAGAATAGGAACCCCACTAAGTTGTTTAAGACTTTCTGTTGCTGATATTGGAATGTAGATTGGGTACATGTAAGTTGAATACATATTCAAAAATTGTGTAAATTGACATCTCTTGTAAGTTGATCAGTCCTTATAACTATTAGGAGCAAGGGACACATAAGACCTCTTCTCCATCATCTTTGGGATGATTTATCCTTAATAAGTACCTAGAGAAGTTATATGAAGTAAGATCTCTCTGTATGTATTGTTATATAATTTACTTATTTTAAATATATTTTTTCCGGTACAGAAAGTAAAATCTGGATTATGATTATGCTTTTTTTGATGACTCCGGGCCGTGTACCCAACGCTTACCGGATAAATTGTTATACATGATGTCGTTTTAATTTGTTTCAATGTCTTGGGTTTGTCTATATTTCTTTAAATCTAGGGACTGATCTCGTATTTTTGGGTAGCATGTTGTATCAAGGCACGAAGCCAATATCTCATGGTCTACAAAACTCTTATTTGAATTGGATTCATCAGGGGCTCTTTTTATGCATTTCATTCCTGATGATCGAGTGTTCATTTGAATTTTATTCATAAAGTTGTATAAGTTCATCCTTGATGCGTTTGAATACTAAACTGAGATCAAATTGTGACTGGCAGGCAGGGGATTTTGTTTCTCAAGTAATTTCTGATGAGAAGGATGTATATTGGAATCTGCTGAGTTATATGGATGGAGTTGTACAAGTTATAGCGAATTCAAGATGGGTAGAGAGATAAGGGTACAAAAGCATAACACATCATCATCAAGTAGTTGTTCTCTAAAAACAACAAATCATTGTGCCAAACCGCCGGTTGAAGCTACAGTCTCAAGTTGATAAATACTACTACTTTGACACACAAGATAAGATAAGATGGATACGTGCTATCAATGTCTATGTATGCTATAATAACAATATTGCTTTATTTCAATGGTAATTTTTATTTATTCTGTTTTTACTTATAGGGCAATGGCAAGCAATGCTGTGTTGGCGATCAACTTAGTATGTGTCCCATTATACGATGAACTGTGAACCTTAATAATGACAGATATATATATATATATATATATGTGTGTGTGTGTGTGTGTTTCAAAGATATTTTACAAAAAAAAATGATATTTGAAAGTTAAATATATCATAATAGAACATTTACACTCCATCGCATTGTGCGAGTGATAGATCAAAAAGAAAGGTGAAAGGGAACCAAATGATGCTAATTGGTAATACGTTCATCTTTTTGTTTAGAGGCATTGAACATAATATTGTATAAAAGAAAAGGACATGAGATGTCTCTTTAACCTTCCATTGTCTCTAGAAAAGGAATGACATAAATAATAAACTAATGGAACCATGGGAAGAAAACCAAAAAGGAGAAACATCTTTTTGTAGTGGTGTATAGAAAATCGTCAATCTATAAAACTTATCCAACTCGATCTGTTAATAACCAAATTAAATCCAACCGCCAATTAGGAGGGTTGAATTCGGGTTGGCTCTAGCTCAACTCATCTAACCTGCCAACCCGCTGCTAATATATAATTTTTATTGAATTATATATATATATATATATATATATATATATATATAGAAAGAGAGAGAGAGAGAGAGAACGCTTGGTTCAAATGTTAACCCAAACTATTGTGTTAACTTTATTACCATTTTCAACTAATCACAATGCATCTTAGTATTAGGTTCCTATCCATCTTGGAATTTAATAACAAGGGTACATATGTAATTTTCTTTGTTATGTAAGTTCTATATAATTAATTCAGAGTTACAAAATCATAAAATTTCATGATTTGTGTTAACTTATTATTAATCTTGTTATTTTTTTAATATTGATTTTCTATCTCTAATGTTTATGAATTTGTGATTGGTGGAGGAGACCCGGTAATAAAGTTTTCGGTATCGTTCAAATTTTATATACGAAAGATGATGAACATGTGTGACCATATGTGACCATATGAACACAAATTCACATATGAGAACATTCATACACATATAAACACAACTCAACATATATGAATCATTGTGTCAATTACGAACACAAATTGACATATATGAACACTTGTGTCAATTACGAAAATAGATTGACCTATATGTACAGTTGGTATAAATATCAACACATATTGACCCAAATGAACATATAAAAGATGGTGAACATGTGTGACCATATGAACATAAATTCACATATATGAACATTCGTATAACCATATGAACACAACTCGACATATGTGAACCCTTGTGTCAATTACGAACACAACTCGACATATATAAACCCTTGTGTCAATTACGAACACAGATTGACATATATGTAAAGTTGGTATAAATATGAACACATATTAACACAAATGAACATATGAAAGATGATGAAAATGTGTGACCATATGAACACAAATTCACATATATGAACATTCGTAAAACCATATGAACACAAATCGACATATATGAACCCTTGTGTCAATTACGAACACAAATTGACATATATGAACTCTTGTGTCAAATACAAACACAGATTGACATATATGCACACTTGTGTCATTTACGACTTTTTTTTTCCATATACACCCTTGTTCACACATGAACAATTCACATAAATATCGAATACTTGTTTACATATGAACCCTTAACAAAAAAAAATGTATAAGAATCTGATGTCGAGGATCTTGCTGTTGGTTTTGATTCGATGACGAGATTAATTTCCGGATAATTACATTGTTATTAATGGGCAGTTACAAAACATCTCATTGTTATTAATGAGCGGTTACAAAACATCTCATTGTCATTAATGGACAAATAAAATCTTTTCCCAAAATACCATTTATAAATATTGTTCACTTATGTTACCTTGTCTATGTGTGCAATTATTTACACTATATGTCATGAATGATCTTAGCCACAAATTTCAAAGATCAATGGTCAAAATTGATTAACAACGTTAACACAATAATTTGGGTTAACAAATGAACTTGCCCCTATATATGTGTGTGTGTTTATATTAAAATGTGTAAAATTTTGTATAATATTTATTGAGATTATGTTTGTATTTCATTTAGCTAAATGTTTTGGTTACCAAAAGAGATTCACAATTAAAAAATGATGACAAATAATCTAATTAATAAAGGAAAATCATTGAAATTGTTTTTGCAACAACAACAAATTGATATGCCGGAGAATATGGACGATGCTAATATATATATATATATATATATATATATTTGGTTGATGAATCTATTAATTTAAAGACTCCGTAATTTGATGTTGTACTTTATTGGAAAGAAAATGCTTAGTTATAATATTTCAGTACAATAAATTAAGTTTTATAGGACGGCTAAAATGTTTATGCGTCCTAATATGATACTTTATAGGACAAAAAAAATGTCTTGTTACAATATGTTTATAAGATGATTTTGGGCGTCTTAACAAATTTTTATGACGCTTCTAAAATAAAGTATCATACTAGTTATTTTATGCGACACTACTTGAAAAGTGTTATATGAACACAAGTGTCCTATAATTAAACGAGTTTACGAGACACTTTTCAAAATATTTCTATAAAATAACTAATACAACGCTTTATTTAAAATCATTTTAAAAAACTTGCTGAAACGCCCACAAACGTCCGATAAACCTATTGTAATATTTTTAGATACAATGCTTTATAGTTTGGTCGTATAAACTTAAGTTTTATGAAGTATTTCATTAATCAAATTTATGTAACTACTACCCACCAACATAATCCAACCTGCCTCAACCCGCAAGAGTTGAGTTGGTTTGATAACTTTTGAATGAGTTGGGTTGGATTGAGATTTCTTCAAACCGCTGGTTGGGTTATATAATTAGGTTGGGTTATGAAAATGTTGTAAATCGTTCAATCCAATCCACATACACCCCTATCTCTTGGCCCTTGTGATTGGCTGAAATTACTTAATTATATTATTAAAATATTTAATAACTTAATTTAAATTTATAAAAAGCTTATATTCAACTTTAACGGATGCTTTATTTTAATTTTTTTTAACATTACTTAATTATATTATTAAAATATTTCATAACTTAATCAGTTTTAAAAAACTAAAAAAAACCTATAATTCAACCTTATTGGTAGAAACAATTAAAATAATATATATCTTTCAAGTTATATTTAACCCTAACAGATATTTTATTTCAGTGTTTTCAATATTACTTAGGGGCCATTTACCCAAATACTTACCTGGTAAGCACTTGCCGGTAGGAGTCAACACTATAATCTATTTTACCAGATAAGACTGTATTTAAAACGCCATCGTATGCAACAATTTACCCCGTAGACGTTTACCCGGGTAAGAGTCATCACCATCACTTACCAGATAAGACTCTCTATCCCTTTCATCGCTCTTACCAGGTAAGATTTTCAGGTCCTTGCCATGTGCATCAGGTGAGAAAAGTTACCCGATCCACACTTATCAGGTAAGTATTTAGTAAACGGCCCCTTAGTTATATTATTAAAATACTTTATAAATTTATCATTCGAATACAGTTTAAAAAAACTATAATAGATTCAATCTTGCTGGTGGAAATAATTAAAATAATATATTTATTATTGATACAAAAAGTTAAAAAATTGTATACAAATTTAATGATGTCTATCTTCTTCTTTTTCTTTTCTAGTCTACCTTACAATTTTACATCTCTCTTGGATTTGTTCGATATGTTTTTATTATTTTAAAATAACTGAGATGTTCTTCATTTAACAAATTTTTTAAAGAAGAATCAAATTCAGACATTTTTATAAACTACAATGGTCATTTTGTAATTTTGAAATTAAATTTACTTTTAACAAACCATATAAAGTAGATTCGTAGTTTACTCCATTTGTTATTTATAAAAAAATACATTTGTAAATACAAATATTATATATACCTTTTTTGAGAAATTAAGCTGGTGATTTAGGGGTCGTTTACGGGTAAAATCTAACACTATTATTTACTTACCGAGTAAGATTTTATTCCACCAAAACGACATCGTATGCAACAATTTATCCGGTAAGCGCTTACCGTGGTAAGAATCGTCGTCATCACTTACCGGGTAAGACTCTTAGTATTTGTCTTGCTCTTATCGAATAAGGTTTTTGGTCTTTATCATATTCATACGATAAGATAATATTATTTGGTAAACCGCGTTTTAGGGTTTCTTTTGAAATTATTAATTCTGAGATGAAAAGGAATTTGATTGCATGTAATTCGATGGAAATCCAATTGGGATGACGTGACAAGATTAAATGCATGTGATTCATATCCATGTCACCAATTATATATATTGTTATCTTTTCTGAAGAATCATTATCAGATTAAAATTTGAATTTTCCTTAACCTCTCAATAATACATTTTATTATAACTAAAATGGTATTTGTATAATGCAACGAAATACATCTTAATTTTAATATTTCATTTTATTATATATTTTAGTCGATTTTATAATATGGTTTTATGTGATTTTGAAAAAACGATGATGTTTTTACTTTTGAATAAAATATAAATTTGAAGATATCATAAAATTTTGACAAAAATATATTGATATTAGTATCAAATTAACTATTTAAAATTCATATTTTTTGTGTAATTTTTTAAATCAATTTTTTTTATTATAATTTAGTTTATGTTCAATAACGAAGTAATTTATATTTGGTTTAATAATATAATTTTCTTATAAAGATAATAATTGATTATTTTGTTAGAACTCGATAATTATCCTAATTATATTTTAGATTTTTTATATTTTAAAATGAGATGTTTATTCTCTATTTAATTATGTTTATCCGAAACTAGTTACACAAATTCAAACATGGAGCTTTAATAAGTTGTACTTATGTATAATTTACTTGTAATCTTGAATTTTAAGTAATATGCATCAGTATACAGTACTTCATGCATAAAAAATTATTTTTAAAAGTTTTTGTCAAATACTTTATAACATAG